TCACATCACTCTGGGTCTTCATTGCAGCTTAATGTAATATAAATGATGTAAAATCAGCATAATCATCAGAAGCTCAAATATCTCACTGGCAGTAAGGCAAAACATGTCCAATCCCAGTTCCTTCTATCAAATCATTTACATATAAATCAGATTTCCTTCCATGTAGTTGGTTGTATTTACATTTGAGGGACTTACCATTGGCTTCAGTAACAAAATGAATGTGCATATGTGCTGTACATCTGTGCCTTAGTTGTAAATTAATAGTGTTGAATTCAGTTTCATTTAAATGAGTAGCACAGATACATTTGATTTAGTCCGGTGATTCTAGAATAAGAATTTAGATTTTAGGCAATCGATCCATTCTAAATAATATGATTAGAATTGATTAGATCAAGACTGCCCAAGCAACAACTAAAACTCCATCAGGACTCATCCTCAAAATTCTCCCTCTTGGTGATTTTGACCAAAATACCATTCTTGGGTCCAAGGGTGGTGTGCGACTTCAACTCCAGAGGAACCTGTGTGACATAAAATATAGACTGTACATTTGTTTTGTACCTCAGGAAACCTCCACATTTGAGGGAAACCGAATCTTCATGCATACTAAAGCTGAACTACTTTCAGTGGAACAATAACAAACCTCAGTGTCCTCGCAGGCCATCATGTTAAACCTCCTAAATATGTGAAGCAGAGCCATTTTAATCTCCAGCTGGGCCAATCTCATGCCCACACAGCTGCGTGGCCCCGCTCCAAACGGCAGATACACAAACGGGTGCCGGCTGGCCTTGACTTCTGGAGTGAACCTGAGACAAATACAGAGTTCATTGTGAGAACATCACATGGGAGGCATGCAAACAAAATGGAGAAAGATCTGTGTACAGCTTGTTAAAAAAAATATCTATAGAACAGCCACAGAGTTGATAATTACAAGATATACTGTGAGATATACACTACTGTTCAAATGTTTAAGGTCAGTCAGATTTTTTTTAATGGTTTTGATAACATTATGTTTAACAAGGCTCATTTATTTGATCAAAAATAAAGCAAAAACTAATATTGTGATTTGAAGATATTTTTGAATGTAATTATTCCTGATGGCTGAATTTTCAGCAGCCTTTACTCCAGTCATTTCTTATTATTATCAATGTTGAAAACTGTTGTGCTGCCTTGTATTTTGATTGATTTAATTCTGGATTCTTTGATAAACAGAACGTTCTGACAAACAGCATTTATTTGAAACAGAAATCTTCTGTAACAGTATTAATGCCTTGACTGTTACTTTTAATCAATATAATGCATCCTTGCTGAATAAAAAAAAAAAGTATAAATTTCTTCCCAAAAAATGACTTCAAGACAGTTCACCTCTCCGGGATGAATTTCTCAGGTTCGGTCCAGTGCTCTGGGTCATAGTGAAGGAAACCTGCAGCGATTTCCAGAGATGATCCTTTAGGCAGAAGCTGGCCGTTCACCACAGTGTCTTGATCAACATCTCGTGCAAATCTGTGACAAAATAAACAAAACCCACATGATATTCAAGATTCACTCTGGGAAAAAAAAAAAAAGTGTAATGCAGTCCAACGCCCAAAACCATTTTGGTTTATTTCTGTCTTTCCATCTAATTGGTTTATTAGATGTCTTTCCAAGTAATTAAAGTCTAAATACATGCAAGAGCCTTAATAGTGTTATTAATATTCTTGCATTCTTGTGGTTCTGTGTGATGTGATTGAACCGGTTATAAAGTAATAGCTGTCATACCTGAACGCAGGTGGGTAGAGTCTGAGAGACTCACATATAACCATGTCTAAATACTTCAGCTCTTGGACATTAGTGTAATCTGCAGTCTCCTGAAACAGAGAATTAAACATTTTAAGCATGACAACAACGACCCTGGACTAAAATATCTCTACAGCTACCATGTATGGCCAATAGGTGGAAGCACAGCAGCAATAATTTCAAGTTTACAGCACAATCCATTCTCGCCGTAAAATGGCTTTTAAAACAATGAAACAAAAAAAGTGAACGAAAACGTTTTCTACTTTATTTGTTTTATAGTTTCCTTTGTGATCAATATTTTTATTGTCTTTTGAAAATGAGCAGATCGCAAATCAATTTAACTATTTATATAGATGCCTAGATTATCCTGAAATTATGTGTATATATATACATGCATATATACACAGAAGAAGCCTTTGTTTGAACTGAAATGGAAGCAGACACAGCCCAGCAGGCAGTGCTAAGCAGTCTATCACTGCATGGCTCTGTGAAAATAGAGGTCAGGCAGTGAGCACGCACCCGTACAGTTCTGCCCACATCCTCTGCCTCCGAGGCCCCCAGACATGCAATGTGGGCATTATAAACGACAAGCTGCTCTCAAGTCACTCTGTTCCACCAGTAAAAGCATCCATTGCACAAATGAGAGGATGCAGCGGGGCGAGAAAAGGGGCAGATTCTGGCATGCTGGAGACATCCTCCACAGGCACACGCCCCCCTATTGGCAGGCTACACTATCAGCTCTCATCGGGCGTCATTGTGGTTCCAGTGTAGAGTGATATGGCAGTGATGAAACACTGTGAGGAGCAGCACTTTGTCTCGCTGCAGCAGACGAGCTGGTTTGGATGGTGTGGTATGTGATGTTCTTTAACAACAGACTCACCATGGACTGAGAGGTTTTCTTAGATTTAAGACTGTTAAGGTGGTTTTTCTATTTAGACATGTGCAAGACAAGCCTCTGACCGTTCCGTCACATCTCACACATTCAAGTTCGACTTTTAAAAAGTTGTTGCTATTTTCTATTTTGCTTCACTCACCCTCTTTTTTTTTTATTTTACCAATGAATGTGTCTTAAGGTGCAGCAGTTATGATAAATAGAAACAACGATAATGATGTTTGCCTTCACAAGCACTACTGATAATTGAATTTTTGTAAGAATACCAGTACTGCATATCTAACATATTTTACTCCATCTCTGCCCAAAACTACAATGCGATCAATATGTACCTTTCTATGCCATTTGTTTCAGTATGAAAGAGGCTTTTTTGATTCTCTTGGCACAGCTCTGTGTTATTTCAATCATTTCTTTGAGAGAATGTGAACTATTCACCGTATCGCTGCAGACCCTCTGTTTATTCTGACTTGCAGCCTCAAGTATGACTAAATTTAACTCCGCTGTATGCACACTGATGCCTCTAAAATCACAAAGCAAGGTCAGATGGCCCTGTAGACATGCTAGCCAATTTTTCACGTCTCGGTTGAGTCTCTTTTTTCATTCTTTTTTATGCTTTCATCAAACAAACAAACAAAAGCCCAGTGCAAAGATTGATGTCAATGACAAATTGTGCACAATGATGCTATAAAGCATGTGCAATACCTTCCTGTATGAGCCTGAATGCTGCTTTATTAACAACTGATCAGAGACTGCAGGCAATTTTGTTCTGAAGTGGTCAAAGAAGAGCTCAGATGAACCCAGCACAAATGAAAGTATGTCAGGCAGGGTAAAATCAGCCTGCTTTCATCTTGTGAGGAAATGGTGGGAATATTTCTTGTTTGTTTGTGGACCGACACTTAGCTAAGCTACTGTAATGAGATCACTGGTGAAGAAACAAGGGATTCTGGGACTAAAATATGGCAAAAAGCAACTTCAATCCTTGTCTAAATATGTTTACAGTCCCCTCGCCCTCAAACATGTTGATTATTGGCCCTCTTTAGAGTTCAAGATGTGCTTCAGATGTTACCTTGTTTCTAAATTCACAAAAGACACGCTCTGAATTTAATTGCATATTTGCTTGTTCTCATATGGCAACAACAAACATGTTCCGCTATGCAAGTAACCTAATATATTCTCATGAAGTAGCCTATATAAAAAGATCACTTAAAAAGTAACAGAACATATCATTAAAATCCAAAGGACCGTACCGTTGGAATTAATAAAACAAGAAACGCGGTCTCTGCGGAAATGCTTTGACCTAAAAATACTCAAACGTTTCCTTCAAATTCATTTCAAGAGAGACAAAAAAAAAAGCCTTGCCGTGTTCAAAGGAGCACCCTGCTAAAACAACTCATTTCCCTGCATATTTCTGTGCCCCTTGGTATTAATATCAGCCTCTTTTCAGCAAATGAGATTAATTTCTCTTGCGTGAGTGTGTGTGGTGTTCCGGCTGCTGAAATTTTAGCTTCACCAACACATGAATAAAATAAATTTGTAAAATATTTTAAAATGAAAAACAGCTATTTTAAATTGTAATAATATTTCTAAATTTAAAAAAATAATAATTGCAGCCTTGGTGAGCATAAGAGACTTACTTAACTTAAGAGATAAAGTATATCTCCTTATATCATAACTCCTAATAGTTATATCCTGCATATATTTCAAAATGGAAATTCTATAGATATTTTTTTTTAGATATTTTATCCTTGCTGTGTGTGGCCTTTTCAAATCCACAAGTTGAAAGCCACTTATTTACATTACTGTATATCTCTTTTTCCCATTTTAGGCCCTTTGTAAATGTAGCCCTCCAGTTCTATGGGAAAATGCAGGTCGAATGGTGTGTACGAGTTGGGAACGGCTAATGTGGCTCCTTAAGGTTTAAGGTTTCCACAGAAAGAGCTATTTATTGTTATTGATAGTGATGGAGGCTTGCATGTTCAGACAGGAGATGCTAAAGACAGAGTTACCACAGATATTTGTGCATCATATTAGTGAATCTCAACAGTACATTCAAAACCAAAAAAGAACAGTAGCCATTTTGTGAGGGTTTAAAATATACCATATCATAATTTTCATTCAGAGTCTAAGTAATGGCTTTTAATTTTCTGGCTTCCTGAAAGACGTTCATTCATTTCAGGGCAATATATACATTTATAACAAAAATAAACTGCTTTTCCATTCAACAAAATTAACAAGTTTTTGGCAGTTTAGAATTGTAAATGGTGAAACTCATGAATTAACACCTCTGGTTTCTTTCAAGCCTGGAAATCAGCCCCCTGCAGTGACTATTTCCTTGGCCAAATGGTTAATTAGGGAAGCTAATTGCAGGGAGTGTCACAGGCATTGATTGTGCTCTTATCAACTGGAGACAGCCTATGTCAGAAGACTGTGGGCCGGCTGTATGAATGATACAGTCCTGGCCAATGCCTGAACTGCAGAATGAAAGACAAACAATGGGCAAACTAATTAAAAATGCCTAATTAAAATCACCTGAGCAGAAAATCAATACTTTGTCATGGTCTGAATAGTTGACAGAGGAGTATTTGTCCCAGCTTCAGTCAAAAGGCCTCTGCAGGAATGGAAAAGTCTGAAAATTAGACAATTTCGGCTGACATATTGACGTATTTCTGAATGAAACTGAAGATTCACAATAGACTTTATATTTTGGGAACTGAATGGATCATGAGAAGTGAGTGCTTCATATTAGAATGGAGTCAGACCTGAATGTGAGTTGTACTCTATGTGCTCTCCTGAAAAACCACCGGCACCAAATTTTGAGGAGGCTATTTAACCAGAATGTGGAGACTGAAGGTCGAGTTCATCCTTGAGAACATCTCAGCATATTCCAAAGGTAAAGCCTTCTTTGCTGTCACACACCAGATAGTACTGGTCTAAGAATTTCAATTGTGAGGTTCACAACAAATAACCCTATATATGCAGTTTCATGCCCACCCCCAAAAAAGTTATGTGTCAGCATTATTAAATATAAATTAATTTAAAAACAAAAAGTTTAATACAGCTTTAGTTTTTTTTCTGTACTTCTAAATGTGTCCTGCTGTCTAATTTTATTCTGAGCAAAAAATAATGACTGTCATTTTTACCATTTTTATATATATATATATATATATATATAAAAATGCTGCCACATAGATTATAACTCCAATGCAGTTGGGAGGAAAAAATAAAACTACCTTGGAGCTTCTACAACACAATGGTAGGAGAAACAAACAATAATAAAGCCACAGCAGATGGACTTAAATCTACACAAAACCAAATCCCAAATGAAACCCATTTTTGCAATAACACTGGCATTGTGGTCTGTGACTCTTGCATCGGATTGGTTCACTTTAAAGAATGAGGTTTCCGTGTACACTTCCTTTAATAATGCATTAGTTCAAATGGTTTGAACTGTTCCAGCCCAATGTTTTAAAACTACCTTGGAGCTTCTACAACACAATGGTAGGAGAAACAAACAATAATAAAGCCACAGCAGATGGACTTAAATCTACACAAAACCAAATCCCAAATGAAACCCATTTTTGCAATAACACTGGCATTGTGGTCTGTGACTCTTGCATCGGATTGGTTCACTTTAAAGAATGAGGTTTCCGTGTACACTTCCTTTAATAATGCATTAGTTCAAATGGTTTGAACTGTTCCAGCCCAATGTTTAGAGAAGCGTCGGGAGAATTCAGACTGAAAATATCCAATCTATAGAAGGGAATGCTGGGTAGTGGTGCATCTCGGTTTCATCCACAGTGATTGGGCTCCATCAAGGCTGCATCCCAGCCCCCGGCCCCACTACGCTCCCCTTCACCGCTGCCCATTCGGCTAGGCTGTGAACCCACCGTGCATCTCATCCATATGCCTGATGCTCATTATGTTCTTCACATGGCACTGCCGTGTGTGTCTGTGATAGAGCTCTTACAGCCCAGCACGGCCTTCGGGATTTATCTCCCCTCCCCCCACCACCACCACAGACCCGGACACCTTTTATTCAATTTGACTCAATGTGCAGGAAAATACAGTCGTAATGGACAATCAAATGACAGGTCATGAGGATCCCTGCCGCAAAAGCAATTATGAGGGTTTTTTGCCATCATGATTCTGCCAGTGAGTGCAGCTAAAATGCTCATTATGCTGGATGCAAATCCACATGCTTTCGGTCACCTTTGCCTCTGCCAGACAGGAATACCTACCTTCACTTATTATGCAAGCATTGCAGTCTATTAAATTATTCCACGTTTGTCAGAGAGTACAGATTGTACCTTTATGGTTATTGAGGGTGATGTTGAGGACAGGTCATGATGGTTGACTAGTCGTCTAACAACAAACTTCAATTTTTATTAAAAATTTTTTTCCCTAAAAGTGATATTTGGGGATATATTTATAATTTATCATTGAGTGATGTTGCGGACAGGTCACGATGGTTAACCAGGTGTCCAACAACTGACTACTCGATTAGTAAGGTTGACTAATTAATCTATTCAACTAGATTTATTTTATATATGTGTGTGTGTGTGTGTGTATATAATTATATACCGGTGTTTTTTTTTTTTACATATGCACACACACATTTATATATAAATATAGGCATACATACAGTATATATATATATATATATATATATATGTATATGTATGTGTATTTGTCAATATACGTAAATATAATTATATATTTTTGTACATATAGTTATAATACAATGCATTTACTTCAGTAGATGCTCTAGAACTAGTGAACATGTTGTTTATATTAACATATTTTTACACAGGCACAAACACACACACACACAAATATATTTATGTATAAAATTCTTAAATCTTTCATTTAGATGCACTACTCAACCTGCATCTTTTTAAAATATTTTTTTTAATCAAGTGTGGGTGGGTGTGTATGAATTTATATATGTACGGTTTTAAAAGCTGTGTTTCACAGCATTTCACTCCATCTAGCTGTTTTTTTTTTTTACTCTGGAACATGTCTTATGTAAAATTCCCCAGAGAAATGTCCAACTGAGGTCAGGTGAACTCAAACCATTTTAATTATATACAAAACTTCCTTAAGACTTCATTTAAATAGTGAATTAGTGAATTTTAGCATATCCCTACATGCGATACAGATATATGCACGCTGTGTTTGAATTAAGCCTAACGATGGCAGGTAAATAATAAGGCACATTTTCATTGCCACAGTGTGAGCGTCATTTGCATATCCCCCCAGAGTCCCATGGAAGGTGGTTCTCAAACAATGGCAAGCATCTGATAGCTGTTGACATTCGACACGCGCGTCAGGTTGAGGTGCAGCTGACTGCTGGAGGATTTGTTATGGTTGCTTAAATCAGGCACATTACAAGTCTCCTTCCTTCCTGTCCCAAGGGACCTTACATATTCTCCGGCCCTTCTACAGTAGCAGCAGTGGTTTGATGACTCCATCTGCTCCATTCTATTACACATGCGGCGGTGATCGAAACGGCCGGCACAAAGACCAAATAACAAACAAGGGAGTCATATCGCGCCTTCACCAGTATCAACATCATAACGACACAATGGAGACATCTGTTCAGAGGAAACTTAGCGAAAGTGCCTCTTTATTCTGCACGATACAATGCTGGTTGATATGAAAACCCTGTTAGGTAACATTGCAAGGGGGCTGATGAAGTGGACCGTGACTGTTTGTGCATGAATGCACATGCCTTATGTGTGTTTGTGTGTGTCTGCTTGAGAAGTCAATTGGGACATGTAGAGCACTTGAAAAAGTACAGATGACCTGCTGCCTGTAGGTGGGACTGAAATATCTCGGTATGAGGACTCAGTTTGACATATGCAGCCTCACGTAGCTCAATCCTTTTCCGCTTATACTGCCCTGGGGAGAGAAGGGAGCGGAAAGAGAAGAACGAGAGGGGGAATGTAAAACAAAGGGAAATCTTGATGCTCTCACTTTTCTCTTCCTTTTCTGCATCCAGAGGGGATGTTTCTGTCTTTCTCTCTACTATCTTTAACCTGAAGCACAGTAGGAACGTTAGGCATCACCTTAAGCAGTGGATAGAGTGGCTCCGTGCGTACACGCAAACGCACACCTACACACTTGTGCAAATTATTGTCTGATCTCAGCATTTTCTTGGCGAAGTAGCAGTTTATAGAAACTACTTTAAAGCTGATGTCTGTAACATTTGAATGCTATTCCAGTTTAATGTGCAGATATTACTGTACAGATATTCATTTACTTGTAGCATTTAAAACAACTGAGTTTAGCTTGTAGCGTTTTAGTTTTATTTATACTACTGTTCTGAAGTTTGAGGTTGGTGAGGTTTGTTTTTTTGTAGTTTTTTTTTTTTTTTTTTTTGTCTCATGCTCGCCAAGGCTGAATTAAAAATACAGTAAAAACAGTAATATTGTGAAATATTATTAGAATTTAAATAACTTTCCTGTGTTAATATTTTTAAAATGTAATTATTTCCGTCATGCAGAGCTGAATTTTTTTTTGTAACACAAATTATTATTTTTTTCAACAATTTAATGCATACTTCCTGAATAAAAGTATTGATTGATAAAAAAAAAAATTCTTACTGACCTTACATTGTACAAACTTTTGAATTGTAGTGTTATTTATTTGGACAAAATCGGCCATTTATCAGTTATCAGCCATAACATCATTTTGTAGTATAATATGTGTAGTGGATAATAATGCAACATATCACGTTCACATAATTTTTACTGGAAAACCGCTAATTATTCGAAATGGAAAAAAAAAGGTGTCAAGTGTTCAATTTGACTTTTGAGATGACACTATCAAATTCATACACTAGATGGCATAGTACAGTGTCAGCATCTTGCTAAGCTAACACTGGAAATATAATAAACCCCAAAAAATACACAGCATATAGAAGGACTGGCTACAAATTTGTCTACATACTTTTAATTGATACTTTTAATATATCTTCTCAAGCTCTGTCATCTTAGATACCATTTTATTTAACTGAGCTTTGCATTCTGGCGGTTTCTTAATTTGGCCAAAACAAAACACCAGAACAAGTGCACTTACAGTATGAATCCTTAAAATGCAGTCTAGGTAGGCAGCACAATAGGTTTTGTAACACTAAATACCTTGAAGCCTATTTTAGCCTCTCTCTCCATCTATTGTTCTCTTCATGGATCTGCTCGCATGACGCATTAAAATGTAAGATAAAAGACAGCGCAAACAGACTAAACCGCGCTACGAGCACAAGCAAGCTATTTACGCTCATTCAAGTAAACAGTGTATACATAATTTGCTAAGTTCCAAATCCGAGAGGCGAGGCTGTTGCATTAGCAATGAGAGTGTCATAAGCCACATCAATGGGAACTGACAGAAACAGCGCTGTGGCTCCGGAAGGATCAAAGGCTGTGTTATTGAATTTAGCGGGGGAGAATCAAGCTCTTTATTCAGGTTGGAGTGCTATCAGGGAGGGGAGAGGAGCCCATCACTGCTCTGAATGAGGGAAAGAGCCGCCTGGAGGCCGAGCCTCAGAGGAACGTCACCAACGAATTATTCACAGATAGGAAAAGCTAGCTACCGGCTGCTCTCCATCCCTCCGTTTCCTCCTTTTGCCATCTTTCTTTGCTATTTTCACCGTGTCTCTGTGCAGCATTCTTTGTGATATCCTCTTTTACTCATCATTTCCATCTTTGCCACAGGTTATATGGTAACTTGAGATGATAGATTGAGATCTACATTGCCTAAATTGGCTATTGTATGACTTCAGAAGACTTGGAATGCAGCACATCAGTTGTTTAGACCATATTTTTAGTACAAATTTTGCCATGGAAAAAAATAAAGTCATACGGGTTTGGAATGACATGAGGGTAAGTAACA